GGTCCAGTCGTGACCGACTCTGGGGTTGCGGCGCTCATCTCGCTTTATTGGCTGAGGGAGCCAGCGTACAGCTTCCGGGTCATGTGGCCAGCATGACTAAGCCGCTTCTGGCGTACCAGAGCAGCGCACGGAAACGCCATTTACCTTCCCGCCGGAGCGGTACCTATTTATCTACTTGCACTTTGATGTGCTTTCGAACTGCTAGGTTGGCAGGAGCAGGGACCGAGCAACGGGAGCTCACCCCGTCGCGGGGATTCGAACCGCCGACCTTCTGGTCGGCAAGTCCTAGGCTCTGTGGTTTAACCCACAGCACCACCTGCGTCCCTTTTTGCTAACTTACTAGGGGTCATATACCAAGGGGACGTATTATTTTGAACCAGCTGCTTGAACAGCTTCTTGGTGTAACCTCGACTTCTTTTGCTTTAGCAGAATTAGGAAAATATATCTATTGAGGAATGCTTTTGTGGCACTGAATCCTGCTGCAGCAGAGGGTCAAGGTCTTTATCTTCCAATGTGACCAGTCGACCTGATAGAGCTGCAAAAGCTATTCCCGGCGTGTTTCTCTTTAGACACACAGCCCATTGCTTGAATACCTTTCCCCCATATCAAGCATACTTCCCTATCAAGAGTTCCCCGAATGCTTCTGTAGCTCTGGATCACATCCCCATAACGTTTATTTTCTATGCGGGCTCATATTTTCCAGGAAGCGTGCCACGGAAACATTAGAGCCAGAGAAGAGTTCTCTGCCAGTTTGTTTAATGTCATGGTCCTTCGGCCTGGTAGCAGTTGCAAAATTGCCCTCATAGCAGTGAGGTGGGGAGACCTCAAAGCCCTTCTGCTGCACCCATGTTTGATTACGGCTGAGAAAAATCACAGGGTTGAATCCAGATTGTTTGCTCGCTTGTTGCATGCATTGTTAGCTATCTTGATTTAATTTACGGAAATTGGGAATGCTTTTTTAATACACCACATTTTTCCATGTATAACACGCCCCTGTGTATAAGACACTCCCTATTTTGGGGGCCCAAACCTAGACAGCATCTTAAAAAGTAGAGACATCACCTTGCCAACAAAGGTCCGTATAGTAAAAGCTATGGTTTTCCCAGTAGTGATGTATGGAAGTGAGAGCTGGACCATAAAGAAGGCTGATCGCTAAAGAATTGATGCTTTTGAATTATGGTGCTGGAGGAGACTCTTGAGAGTCCCATGGACTGCAAGAAGATCAAACCTATCCATTCTGAAGGAAATCAGCCCTGAGTGCTCACTGGAAGGACAGATCCTGAAGCTGAGGCTCCAATACTTTGGCCACCTCATGAGAAGCGAATACTCACTGGAAAAGACCCTGATGTTGGGAAAGATGGAGGGCACAAGGAGAAGGGGACGACGGAGGACGAGATGGTTGGACAGTGTTCTCGAAGCTACCAGCATGAGTTTGACCAAACTGCGGGAGGCAGTGGAAGACAGGAGTGCCTGGCGTGCTCTGGTCCATGGGGTCATGAAGCGTCGGACACGACTAAACGACTAAACAACAACAACATTTTGGGGGCCTCCAAACTGAGAAAATGGGGGGAGGATTGCCCAGAGTTGTTGTTGAGCTTTTTAAGGGGGGGGGGATTGCCACAAAAAGACCGCTCTTTTGCCGCTGTGGCAGCCCATCATCAGCAACCCTTCACACAGCCACCAATCACCCGCTCCATCGCCGCTGAGATTCCCCTGCTTGCGGCTGCAACCAATCGCCTGACCGCACGCTGCACTACCCGTGTATAAGAGCCCCAAATTAAAACCTTCTTTTTTAGTTTAAAAAAAAACCCTAGTCTTATACACGGAAAAATATGGTATCTATTTTTATTAAATTTTCTGTTTTATAATTTTAAATACTCATTTTACATCCTGCAGATATCAATGCCTTTTCCTTCTTCTCTTGCTATGCTTTTCCTGGCTGCCAGCCATCGGGAAAAAAGAGGCGTAATTTGAAGATAGTGTCATGAGACAACACCCTCTCCAAAATAATACTCAGGGCTACCAGATACTGTCATTTTGCTTTTATTTATACTTGCCCTTGTACAAATTATAATACTTACGACAGCCATTTAGCAGGATGAGTGGATGTCCCTGGCTTACCCTGAGTAAGTCCTCCATTCAGCACACTCAAAAGCTGTTGCTGGTATTATAAATACTTGTAGAGCAGCTCTTTAAGGTCTTAGACAGAGAGGCAGGCTCTCCTGGAATCAGGGCCAGATTTAGGTTGGATGAGGTCCTAAGCTATTGAAGGTAATGGGGCCCTTTATATGTCCAGCTGTCCTTTGTCAACAACAAATTTTGTCTTGAATATATGCTATATGGTAATTTATGGACCTACGGTAAAGGTAAAGGGACCCCTGACCATTAAGTCCAGTTGTGACCGACTCTGGGGTTGCGGTGCTCATCTCGTTTTATTGGCCGAGAGCGCCGGCGTACAGCTTCCAGGGTCATGTGGCCAGCACGACTAAGCTGCTTCTGGCGAACCAGAGCAGCGCACGGAAACACCGTTTACCTTCCCACCAGAGCAGTACCTATTTATCTACTTGCACTTTGAGGTGCTTTCAAACTGCTAGGTGGGCAGGAGCAGGGACCGAGCAACGGGAGCTCACCCCATCGTGGGGATTTGAACCGCTGACCTTCTGATCGGCAAGTCCTAGGCTCTGTGGTTTAATCCACAGCGCCACCTGCATCCCTAGGATTTATGGACCTAATAGGTATCTAATGCCATTTGCACATAACAAAATATGTATTTTACCAAAGTAATTGTTGAACTGAAATACAATTAAGAAGAAGCCTACACAACACAAAACACTGTTGCTGCATGTAGGTTTTATTTTATTTGTTTTTTATCTTATATTTTGGAAATGTACATCCAATTTTTTTCCCTTTTAATTTTTTGGGGGGCCCCCAAGAGAGTGGGGCCCTAAGCTATAGCTTGTTTAGCTTATACGCAAATCTGGCAGTGCCTGGAAGGGCTGGTAACGATCCCTATCTAAAACCCACCGAAAGCCACTGCTGGTCACTATAAACAATGCTCATGTAGATTAACCAATGGTCTGAACAGCTATAACACACTTTTTAGGTTCTGCTTTCTTCCAATTAATATAGTCCAAGCTAAGGTTGCCATCTTTCAATTCCTGACACCTGCAACGCTGTTGAGCTTTTTTCTTTTAGGAAGACCCCAAAATTGTTGAGCTTTGTTGATGCTTTTTGAGGAAACCTAACCCCAAAACAGTTTTTTGAGCTTTTCCCACTGCTTTTGCCGTTGCGTTTCCCCTGACATTTTGCCGATTCAGTCAAATTCTTCCCAACGTCATTTTTATACCCGAAAACCAGGACATGTCAGGAATTTTCCTGATGTATGGTGATCCTAGTCCAAGCAGAAAAAGAAGAAGAAGAAGAAGAGTTTGGATTTGATATCCCTCTTTATCACTACCCGAAGGAGTCTCAAAGCAGCTAACATTCTCCTTTCCCTTCCTCCCCCACAACAAACACTCTGTGAGGTGAGTGGGGCTGAGAGACTTCAGAGAAGTGTGACTAGCCCAAGGTCACCCAGCAGCTGCATGTGGAGGAGCGGGGAAGCGAACCCGGTTCACCAGATTACTGCTCTTAACCACTACACCACACTGGCTCACTGGCAGAGATGGTGTCACAAGATGGAATCCTTGGGCAGCTGCTGAGGGCAGACCCCCCGAGTGTCCCTGTTTTCCAGGGACAGTCCCGGATTTGCAGAATCCATCTCAGTTTCTGATTTGCTCCTGGAATGTCCCACTTTTCCTTAGGACGTCCCTGCTTTCAGAGGAGAAATGTTGGAGGGTATGCTATCTGAGTTCACCTTCTGCAGAAAGACAATTGATTGATTGATCATTAGGAGACCATGGCAGTGGGGCCGTCTTACCCATAGAGGCTAGTGGCGCAGGGCGCCAAGTTCTGGAGGGCGCCAGGGAAGAGGTGGAAGCTGGACGTGGCACCTCCTGGCATCAGCTTGCCACCCTTGCCCGCCTCTGCCATGCCGTGCTGAAGCAGCACCGCGCCCCGAGCCTCCACCTGCTGTGGCCACTACGGCACAAAGTGGCCAGTTGAGCCGGGAGCTGCCGCGTCCAGCCTCTGTCTCTTCCTCGCCGGAGGAGCTGCCCTCCAGCCGCTGCCCACCTCCTCCAGCCCTGCAAAGCTGGGTGCGTCGCCGGCAGCGCCGTCCTCCCTAGAAAAGGTCGGCAACTCTGGGAAACAGGAGGGGGGCAGAGGGATCTTTGCACTACGGCGCCAGATATATATATTTTTTATATAATGATATTTATTAAAGTTTCAAAAAATACGTGAAAATACAGAATAAAGAAAAAAGTATAAGGATATAAAGTTTTAAGATATAACAAAAAAGTAGAAAATAAGAAAAAACATACAAAATAAAACAGTTAAAAACACAATAATTTTCCATAACCTATCTTCCTTGCTCTTATTTCCCGGACCTCCTCATACCTCCCTTCTTTGTATTCCAGTTCAGTTTGTTGGTTCAGCAAATCCTTACCATTAATCTTTTACCCAATTGTTAACCTCTTTTTGTTTTTTTCATATCTCTTAAAAGCATTACAGCTAAAAACCTCTTAGTTTCTATCCGACATCCTTCTAAAATTCCTTAATTTTACAATATTTCTGTAAATAGTCTTTAAATTTCTTCCAGTCTTCTTTCACCGACTCTTCTCCCTGGTCTCGGATTCTGCCAGTCATTTCCGCCAATTCCATGTAGTCAATCACCTTCATCTGCCATTCTTCCAAAGTGGGTAGATCTTGTGTCTTCCATCTAAAGGATCCGGTTGTTGTTTGTTTCATCTCCATCCTTACAGCATTGTGGTCGGAACAAGTTTTTGGGCAGATTTCTACTTTCTTTATCTTTGGTGCCATTCCTCTAGTTATCCATATTTGGTCAATTCTAGTCCATGTCATCTTGGCTTCAGAAAAGAAGGTTCCTTCTCTTCCCAGGTACTACGGCGCCAGATATGCTTAAGACGGCTGTGAGTGGGGCTGGATTTTCTTCTTATAACACTGGGAAACAAAATTTTTGTTGCATTGACACCTGCAGTTGCTCTAACCTAATTTAGACGTGCTGATTTCATATCTGAAGTTGGTTTTGTTCTGTGAGCTCTAGTTTTTTTGCAATTCTTGTTTTTCACTGTTCACCATAATCTTTGTTTTTCACAATACAAGAATTCAATAGTTTATTAAACACATAGCCAAAGTAGTACAATATGAGTATAAATGTAAGTGACTTATATAGCATTGAACATGACATGTATAGCATTGAAAATGACATGTATATCTATGTACAGTTGGAAGTATGCAAAAATGTATTCTCTTGGGATACACAGTATCTTTCAATTTATGACTTGTTTACACATTTTTGTCTACTTGAAGAAGCCATGGTCCGATCTGAAAAATACAAATATTTAGGTTACAAAACTATAAAAATAAAGAAAAATTAAGTTTGCAAAACAATAATTACCATGTGGTTAAGGTAGATCAAGGTGTCAGTGTCCACTTATCCCCAGTGTAAATATGACATATCGGGAAAAGTCGGAAATTGAAAGATAACTATAGCATGTACATGAAAATCAATTTCAGATTTGAAATCAGCATTGAAAGAACATATAAGAACAGTTGAAAAAATCTCATGCAGCAGAAAATGAAAAAGAAAAATTGTTCCCCAGTGATCCACTGAAAAATGGAGCCCTTGCCTCTGGAACTTTCTTTGGCAACGGTTCTAATACTGTTCTTTTTCCACTCAGCAATCTATCACTGGTCAGTAGCAGATGCGAGACATTCTGAACTTTGCCTGGTGGAGCTATTCTGAGCAACTCGCCGATCGCACCTGCAGGAGGGAGATCACATTCACAAGGGAAATAGCCATGGAAGAAATCCTGCTAAAGACCAGATCACTGGATTCCTTCCCGGTTACCCTTTAGAGGGATGCAAATGATTTGTGGCAGTGTTTTGTTGCTGTGGTGGTTCTAAAAGGATATCTATGGGGCTAGGAGATCATCGTATTCTGAAGTGAAGGAGCTGACAAATGATCGTCCACAGCCCAGGTATGCAACAAAATCACATGCCTGTTTACTGAGAGGCAAGCCCCAGACAGGAGGGCCAACTTGGCCCCGCAACCGTGCAGGTGCCCAGGGTGCACTGAATTTTGTGGCTGCGTGAGCACCCAGGACCCCAGGAAACCGGCACCCTGTGTCCCAAGAAGTGGTATGGGCAGTCACATCCACAACATACACTTAAAGCACATGGCATTTTTTCTTTTTAAAGTTTTTATTTATACTTTTCAAATTTATACATTTCATTAATTTCACAATCATTTTAACATTTCAAAGTTTGACTTCCTTCCCCCTCTTTCTGTGGTGCCTTAAATTTATTTTTTAACACCTTAAGTAAAGGTAAAGGGACCCCTGACCATTAGGTCCAGTCATGACCGACTCTGGGGTTACGGCGCTCATCTCGCTTTATTGGCCGAGGGAGCCGGCGTACAGCTTCCGGGTCATGTGGCCAGCATGACTAAGCCGCTTCTGGCAAACCAGAGCAGCGCACGGAAACACCATTTCCCTTCCCGCCGGAGCGGTACCTATTTATCTACTTGCACTTTTGATGTGCTTTCGAACTGCTAGGTTGGTAGGAGCAGGGACTGAGCAACGGGAGCTCACCCTGTCGCGAGGATTCGAACCGCCGACCTTCCGATCGGCAATGCCTAGGCTCTGTGGTTTAACCCACAGCGCCACCCACGTCCCTTAATACCTTATGCATATCCAAATTCATTTAATTATTTACTCTTTTGAAACTGCAGGTTATTACAATAATCCTGCCAATGTTTTTATCTGTTTGCAATTTACCTGCAAATATTCAACAAACCATTTCCATTCTTGATTTCTTATTCTTCCTGTAAGTTTCACCATTTCTGCATATTATAAGTTTTTGTATCCATTCTTCCTTTGCTGGGACATCTGCTTCTTTCCATTTTGGGGCTCATGTGGCGTTTTTCAAAGAATCACGGGAACTGTAGTTTTTTAAGGGTACTGGGAATTGTATCTCTGTGGTGGGCAAACTACAGCTGCCTTCACATACCCTCCAACATGTCTCCAGTGAAAATAGGGAAGTCCTCTTGAATAATAATAATAATAATAATAATTTTATTATTTATACCTCACTCGTCTCACTGGTTTGCCCCAGCGACTCTGGGCAGCTTCCAACATATATAGAAACATAATAATATGGATAGAAACACAATAAATAAATTAAAGCTCAATTAAAATGAGAATAAGATCTAAATAAATTAAAGCTCAAGAAGGACAAGCAGGAGGAGGCTGGAATCTTTTCCATCCACAGTTAACACTGGGACAGAAGACTGAGCAGGCACAAAAGTCATGTGGCCACAGTCCTCTCCACTAAGTTGAGATGTATGGCATTTCTATTTAAATTACATTTTTTTCTAAATGTTAAACATAGATTAGCGCATGCAGATTTCATGCAAATCAGTGTCCTATTTTGCCCTCTCATGATGCAACTCCTCTTGTTTGGCGAAGCACAAGTGCCCTTTTCTTAATACTGCGGCTGGCGTAGCTTAACAGCACCGGATTTCCATTACAGTGGTACCTCGGGTTACATACGCTTCAGGTTACAGACTCCGCTAACCCAGAAATAGTGCTTCAGGTTAAGAACTTTGCTTCAGGACAAGGACAGAAATCGGGCTCTGGTGGCGTGGCAGCAGTGGGAGGCCCCATTAGCTTCAGGTTAAGAACAGTTTCAGGTTAAGTACGGACCTCAGGAACGAATTAAGTACTTAACCCGAGGTACCACTGTACTTAGAATTAAAAAATGCTTCACGGACCCAAAAGCAGTCCTAGCTGGGCTCGATGTTTTCACCTGCAGTGCTGTTCTGGTGGAGGCAGCAAGACGATAAAGCCATGCCTTGCAGTAACTCTGGAATAAATCTTCCTAACCTGACAGCCCATAATACTAATAAATACAGGGAGAGTTTATTTCTCCCTCTGTCCAGGGAGAAAATGACTGCATGGGAGTCCGCTCTGGCTACTCAAGAGCTTTATAGATGATTACCAAGTCAATCCCTTCGGTGTCGTGTGCCAAGTGCACCATCTTAATAATTAGAAAAAAGGCCCACAGTCATTAAAAAAAAAAATCAGTGGTAATAACCATTATTCCACCCCTCTTGCTGTTTATGTAGACTGCCTGCCTTCCTTTCTTGCTGTTTCTTTAATTTACATCCCCTCCAACACTCCTCCGATGAAAATAGGGACATCCGATTCCACACCCTCCAACATTTCTCTGATGAAAATAGAGACTCCCCCTCCAACATTTCTCTGATGGAAATACAGTCGTACCTAGGTTTTCGAACAGCTTAATTCTCGAACGCTTTGGCTCCCGAAAGCCACAAATCCAGAAGTGACTGTTCCGGTTTGTGAACTATTTTTGAAGCCGAACGTCCGACACGGGTTCCGCGGCTTCCAATTGGCTGCAGGAACTTCCAGCGGCCAATCGGAAGCCAAGCTTTGGTTTTGGAAGTTCGGAAGCCATCAGAATGGCAGTTGGCTGTATCTTCCTGGGCAGCAATAGTTAATCAAGCTCTGGTCTGGCCTATCCCTATCTACCCAGGCTGGTCCTCAGCATCTGTAGGGGGAGGACAGCCTTCCAGACTCACCATCAAGCTGAGAGTGTTGTTGCCTTTGTGCAGTGGGCTCATTTCTTCACATGCCCATTGACAAACAGCTCCAGGCTGGCAAAAACTCTTGAGGAGAGTGTGGAGTAAGGCAAGTGAGGGGGGTGGCCTAGACCAGACAGAGAGGGCCACATTGTCTCCTGAGCCTGATGGCACTGTGGTCTAAACCACCGAGCCTCTTGGGCTTGCCGATCAGAAGACCAGTGGTTCGAATCCCCGCAATGGGGTGAGCTCCCGTTGCTCTGTCCCAGCTCCTGCCAACCTAGCAGTTTGAAAGCACGCCAGTGCAAGTAGATAAATAGGTACTACTGTGGCAGGAAGGTAAACGGATTTTACGTGCACTCTGGTTTCCATCATGGTGTCCCGTTGCGCTAGAAGCGGATTACTCATGACCTGGAAAGCTGTCTGTGGACAAACGCCGGCTCCCTCGGCCTGAAAGCGAGATGAGTGCCACCACTGGTGGACGAAGGTGGGGGCAGGGGGTGGTCCACCCCAGGTTCCATCCTGGGGGGGTGATATCGCAGCTGCCCCTGCCCCCCAGAATGCTCGCTGTTCACCGTGCATGCCCCGGGATGCGTGCCGCTTGCTGTGCACCCCCAACACTTGCCATGCCCCCTCGGGTGGCGCACCGTGCCCCCTGGGATGTGCTCCAGCCATGCCCCCGGATGTACGCCGCTCCCGGTGCTGGGGCAGGTAGCTCCGCCACTGGGTGCCACATCCCATAGTCTCCTTCGACTGGATTTAACCGCCCAGGGGTCCTTTACCTTTTGTACCTTTACCTGCTGTAGATGGAAAGTAGCAAATAACTCCAGGTGGGTTGTTACAACAGTTCAGCTCTTCTTCTCCCCAGCCCAGTATGTTTCGCAATGCCTGCAGTCGGAACATCCTCCCGCTTTTTGAATCATAGCATATGACCAAATCGCTTGGGTCTTTTCCTGTGTCTTTAGCTATGACTTAAAGTGAGTGGAATCTGGTCTGTTAAGACAGTGGCTGATGCCCAACTTATTGGTAGATTGGATCACACTGGCCTCTGATAACCAGAGAGGTCATCTTGTAGGAATACTTTTTTAAAAAAAAGGAGATAAAAAACACTCTGAGTCTTGGTTATTGCGTCTACTGAATATTTAACCTATGAACAACTTCTCTGAATGTGATGCTTCACGCTGAACAAACTCGTTGTTTTGTCCTGATTTTATTTGCACTGTGACACAACATCTCTGCTATTTGTCTTCGCCAAGTACTCGTAAGAGCAGGTTATTAAAATGAGTCAACCTGGAATGTGACAGCTCTCGCATTGGAATTCACTAGGTCAGGAAAGGACAGAGGAGGACGCTAGCAACAGGGGATTAAAATATTTGCTAACTTTAAAGAGATTCCTTTTATGCAATGCACACAATTTATCAGAGAACACCACGCATAACAGGCCCAGAGGTCAGATAACATAAACAAAGAGTTTTATTGGTGTTAGTTTTTGGCAAACCTTTGCAATGGCTCACCCTGAATGGTTAACCAACTGGTTGGCCAAGGTGGGGTGTTGAACAGTACAAACCCAGCAAGAATTGGGGATGGAGATGTAACGTTTGAAGAGACAAAGGACTGGCAAAAAGAGCTGTGGTCCCATTCCATATATTTTACTGTCCCAACGTGAACTTGCAAGAAACAGTTCTGCAAAAAATTCCAGCTAGAATCAGAGCAAAGATGGCTGTGGAGAACATCAATAGGCTGGTGCCCATGATGTATCGCCAACACACCTTTCCTCATCCAGTTTTTATTGCTAATCGATTTTATAAAATAATTCAAGAAGTGTATGTGTGTGTGTGTGTGTGTGTGTATGTGATACCGACAATAGCTGAAGCAGTGTTCAACTTTCAGGGATCACACCACTAGTGTGTTGTTGTTGTTTAGTCGTTTAGTCGTGTCCAACTCTTCGTGACCCCCTGGACCAGAGCATGCCAGGCACTTCTGTCTTCCACTGCCTCCTGCAGTTTGGTCAAACTCATGCTGGTAGCTTTGAGAACACTGTCCAACCATCTCATCCTCTGTCGTCCCCTTCTCCTTGTGCCCTCCATCTTTCCCAACATAAGGGTCTGTTCCAGGGAGTCTTCTCTTCCCATGAGGTGGCCAAAGTATTGGAGCTTCAGCTTCAGGATCTGTCCTTCCAGTGAGCACTCAGGGCTGATTTCCTTAAGAATGGAGAGGTTTGATCTTCTTGCAATCCATGGGACTCTCAAGACTCCAGCACCATAATTCAAAAGCATCAATTCTTCGGCGATCAGCCTTCTTTATGGTCCAGCTCTCACTTCCATACATCACTACTGGGAAAGCCATAGCTTTTAATATACGGACCTTTGTTGGCAAGGTGAAGTCTCTACTTTTTAAGATGCTGTCTAGGTTTGTCACCACTAGTGTAGGGACCCATGAAGTTGAGCTGAAAGTGCTTCTCTTCATCTTTTCTTCATTTTGACAAATGTGACTCAGGGTACTTCCAGACTGCCCCTATCTTCTTTCATTCATATATACCGTATATTCTGTTTTACAATTTCAAATACTCATTTTACATCCTTAAAATATCAATGACTTCCCTTCTTCTCTTTCCATGGTTCATTTTACATATCATAAATCCCTGCATATTTTACAAAAACTAAACCATTCAGTTTTCCATTATTGCATCCATCAAAACTTATTTACACTGCTGAATTTATCTGAATGCCGCCAGCGTTTTCAGCCATGTATTTCCTGTATATTCAATAAACGTTTTCCAGTCTTCTCTAAACGTATGTTCTTCTTTGATCTCTTATTCTATATGTTAAGTCTGTAAGTTGTGCATATTTTGTCAACTTAAGTTGCCATTCTTCTTTCGTTGGGACAAGTGAGGTCCCAACGACAGACCGCCCTATCTTTGATCTGCTCCATATTATTATTATTGTTATTATTATTATTATTATTATTATTATTAAATCTTGGTCAAGACAAGGGGGCGTGGTTAACTTGACCGGGAGAACAGGAACATGTACATACTCACCTTTTGTTTTACTTAATGGGTACGAGGGTGGAAGTCAAGGGAGGAATGGAGGCAAACCAGATTGCTCAGGTTTCTGCCAGGAGACCCTCCCAGATTATGACACAGCTGTGATGTATATATGATGTATGTGTGATGCTTCACTAAGGGTGTTGTGGGTAAAAAGGAAACTTATAAAAAGGGAGCTGAAATATACTCGAGTCGAGAGTGGATTTCATGCTCTTTATTCAGCTCATAGTGGTGAGGAGGAATGGAAGTTCCCCCAGAATGTCGGCTTTATATACATTATTTACACAATGGGCCCCATGTGATTGACTATTTCTGGGATTCACCTGTAGGCCAATCAGGTTGTGGATTCACTTCCACCTGGAGCTGGATTGGGGGCTCCTGTGGACCAATCAGACTGCTGCATTCTGAACCCTATTGTTCTAGGACCAATCAGACTGCTGCATTCTGAATCCTATTGTTCTAGGACCAATCAGACTGCTGCCTTTTGGATCCTATTCAACTCAGTACATAACAGGAGCCATCCTATGTTCTGGGCTTCTTCCTGCTTCTTCCATGTGATGGTTGGAAGCTTTGTTGCAACAATAAAGATCAGGCCTACAGGCTGCTGTTTTGCTCCTATATTCTTGGCTGGTGTCTTTGTTTGGCAATCCAAGTGAGCCTGGAAGATTTCCCTATAACAGCTGCAAGGAGCGCATTGATCATGGTGTGCGGATCTCAGCATATCATGAAAACTCCAAGCCAATCTGAACACTGGTTTGCGAAATATCCACGAAACACAATTCTCTGAGATCTCTGAGGTGGCTATTTCCTTGCAGTAGGAAGAAAAACCAGACAGCAGTGATGGGAATTATCTGACTCTCCAAATGTGGTTGGATGCCAGCTAGCATCACACTGACCATTGGACGTGCTGGTCCTGATGCAAGTTGTAGTCCAACAATATACGGGGGACCTCAGATTGCCCATCTTGCCGGACAGGAACCTTCGTCCAGGTTTTTTAAAAGCCTGTTGCTCTGAAGGACGTGCTTTGTATGGTAAAGGGCTCTTCCAACATATTTTGAATGCAGGATAGGAAAAACATAATCATTGCCTGTCAGAGATGCCAGCTTCATGTCAGTGATCAATCTGAGAGTACTATTTGCTGTGATGCTGTCAGATTTCTCTCAATCTGTCTGAAGTTTTGCTCTCTCTCTCTCCCCATACATTAAGATGCTTAAAGGGGCACAGCCGTGTCAGGATTTGTAGGAATATTTTCAGAATTCTTCCGTCCAGTTAACCTGCGAGAGGAAGAGCAAATTGTTCTTATCAATGACTAGCTGAGCAAACGTTTACCGTTAAACCACAAAACCTAGGACTTGCTGATCAGAAAGTCGGCGGTTCGAATCCCCACGATGGGGTGAGCTCCCATTGCTCGGTCCCAGCTCCTGCCAACCTAGCAGTTTGAAAGCACGTCAAAGTGCAAGTAGATAAATAGGTACCGCTCTGGCGGGAAGGTAAACAGCGTTTCTGTGCGCTGCTCTGGTTGGCCAGAAGCGGCTTAGTCATGCTGGCCACATGACCCGGAAGCTGTACGCCGGCTCCCTCAGCCAATAAAGCGAGATGAGGGCCACAACCCCAGAGTCGGTCACGACTGGACCTAATGGTCAGGGGTCCCTTTACCTTCTTTACATGCTATTATACTGTCTGCTGCTACGTAGTCCATTCAAGCAGACTAGAGAACAAATTGAGATGTTGCAATAAGGACAAATGCAAATGTTTATAGATTTCTTTTCATTCAAGGAATATTCAAGGTGGTCTCCAATCCTTAAAAACAGCAAATTAAAAAGTGTCTTCCCATGCATGCCTACTTCCAGTGGGACTTGCTTTCAGGTAAGCAGGTATAGGATTGTAATCTCAAACACCGACCACAAAACAGAACATAAGAAAAGCCTGCCGGACCAAGCCATTAACCCATCATGTCCAGAGTTGGATAACAGCTCGGACTGCAATGGAACCAGATGAAGCTGCGCTAGGAAAAAGACACTTGGAAAAGTATATATACCCAAACAAAGCTGTATTCGACGGACGAAAGGATATACGATTTCTGACATGATTGAGAATCTCAGAGCCAGAGACAAAGAAGTTCAGAGCGTTAAAATCGAGTTGTGGACATATGGAAACGACGACGAGAGGCAGGGTTGAGATTGGGAGATATGCTTCAAGGTCCAGACTATGGGAAGTCCCAAAAATTAATAATTATAATTCAGAAGATAATTTGATCTTCTTTATTTTAGTTTTTTATTTTTATTGGATTCTGATTTGATATGATAATTGGATGTTTTTTATTGGAAAATTAATAAAAACGATTTAACAAAAAACCCCACATCATGTCCAAAATTCTGTTCTCCCGGCTAGTAGCCATTGAAAGCGCTATCCTCCATGAATTTGTCTCATCCTCTTTTACAGCCAACCAAGTTGTTGACCATCATGGCTCCCTGGGGGAGTGAGTTCCATAGTTTAACTGTGTGAAGAAGCACCCATTGAACTCAACGGAATTCACTTTTGGATAGTCATGCATAGAATTGCACCATTGAGCAGGTAAAAGTCAAGCAGCAAAGCTCTCAAGAGTGAAAAGCTTTGGATTAAAACCGAAGCCATTCAGAAAACGGGGTGAAATAATCTACCTAAGAACTTGGCAGAATAGTATTTTTTTTAAATAACTTTTATTCAAAATTGAAACAAAACATATTATCCAGAAACATACCATCCTTATCCCCCCCATTTTTCCTCCCTCCCCTCCCTCCCCACACAGAAACCACCCACCCCACCCCCGACTTCCCTCAGTTCCAGTCTTTGATTTCTCTAAAAATGCTGTTTTCTGCATGTTACAAAGTTGTATAGGTCCTCAAACTATTTAGCTGATTATTATCAATAAAAAGTTTGTTTATGTTTATTCAAAACCAGCCAAGGAGTCCAGTTGGCTTTGTTGAGTCTTCAAATACTTTGTAAAGGGTTCCCATTCATCCTTAAAGTCACAGTTATCCTTGTCCTGTAGCTTGTATGTCAGTTTTGCCAGTTCTGCATCGTCCATCCATTTTTCTTGCCATAATTCTTTAGTTGGGGTTTCTTCAGTCTTCCATCCTTGTGCTATT